TGATAGACGATTATATTTAATTCATTTCGTTGATAACAGGAATTGAGCTCACTATTTATGTAATTCAACTCGATGTGATTTAGTAGACGAAGATCATAATCAAAAATATTTTGGATCAACAGTAATAATGTTTTCGGTTTTTATGGTTTCTTTCTGACGATACGCAATTTTAATGTCATGTAACAGCACTGATGGAATTAAAACTGATTTGAAAGCACAGTTGATTGTATAGAGAAGATTTTATTTATCGTCCAATTCTATATTTTTTGATTGTCTATTTATTAGAAGAGTTGTTACTTTCATTATATGAATTTAGAAGGACAAAATATTTGATTGAGACCACGGTGAGAAAAATATGTGATGCAGATTGTGTAATTTTTTCTATTATCTACACCCAACAGCCTGTAAAATAGGCCAGGCCGAAAAAAAAGTGACCTGCTGACAGCCCTGATGCAAATTACGAACTATTCAACTATGTAAAAATAACTTGAAATCGAGTTGTTCAAACGAAATTGCACTTTCTAACTGAGATCGAACTTTATTAAGAAACGGAAGTACTGAAGTCTATTTTTTTCTCATATTTATTAAGTTAATTAAAACTGCTTTACGTATATATCATTAGGTTGTAGGTAATATGCTTCTGTTTCTTTCTTTATTAATGTTAAAATGAGCGTAACAGTTTGATATCGCAGTTAATTAGAAACCAATAGGTATTTTAACAGCAATTATGATCGTACAACGTTATTCTTCCTTGAATGTCGTTAACGTTTGCTTCATTTTACGGTCTGCTGCCGATACAATAAATTTTGTTTTTTCACGATAGATTTGTCAATTGATCACGCCAATAATGAGTGGACATCCTTTCTTCGTATTTATTCATCTATAACATTCATTATTAGGTATTTTAATTAAAATCAATTTTCAAATATTACCATTTTCTTGATTATTATTTACTCTTGATCAATTTCTCCAATCATCGTCTAGAGTTCTATATTGATAAAACTTGTTATATTTGGATGTAATTAATTATATTCAGTAGCATAATATTACTGCATAATATATTTACAATATATTTGTAATCTTGTTAAAGCACATAAATTACATTTGTTGATTAATTGTATTGATAATATCATTTGTTTTTAACTGACAACTTTCAAATAGAATATAAGGATGGAATGAAATATGATGATTGCTTATATATTCATAAATCAGTTTTTCTACTATAACATTCTAAATTTTGTTTTCTTTTGTGCATTTTATCGGTGGTTTCGTCTTAAAGTCAATCCTTGTGCGCAGTTATTTCTGAACAACATTTTGAAACTCTCGTCCATCCATTTTTTTAAGATCATAATTAGTAGAACAGTGTTACAATAAACAAAAAAGGCCACTTCACGACAGTAAACCTGACTTTTCTTAGCACAGAAATCAATAATAAAAAGTTCGGTCGGACAAAAGTTTATTCTCATTTAGACCCTTAAAACAACAAAAAAAGAAATATTAGTTCATCTTGAATCGGGTGGAGAAAGGAGTTTCAATTTTTCTAATTGAAAAGCATGTTCTGAAAAAACAATGGTAAATAATTGTAAACATGCAATTTTCCCTTCCAATCCAAAAAAGAAAAACATATACTTTATCAAACAAGCATTTAATATCGTCAACAATGATTCACTCTATTCGGTGAGATCGTTTCTGATATTAATCAGTAATTAATTAAAACATATTCCATTGAAATAATACAACGTTATATCACAATATTGTTAAACAATATTATTTTGCTCATTTATTGACATCATATAACATGCGTGAAGAGCATGAGTTTAGTTTCAGATATGACATTATACTTCACTGTGTATGATAATTCGATATCATAGAATAATATTGACGTTGATAATTTGTATATTTCTAATATCAATGTTTCTACAAATTTTGATATTGATGAAATCATGAGATGTCTGGTTCGAGCTCGAATATAAATGGAGCCACAACTGATTGATATTAATTCGAAAATAAATAGATATATGTATATATACTGTCCTGTAGATTTAAAAACAGATTCAATTTGACTTTTACCTCTATTTAGTTAAATACAGAGGTATCGTGTGTTCGTCTCCTTCAATGATTGCCTTACAACGTCTGTCCTGTCGGCGGTAAAAGATTTCTGCCCACTCACTACACTTTTTATTTCAATGTCGAGGTGTGAGGGCGCGAAGCGCCCTCCGCAGAGCCGCGATCCATACTAATCTCTGTGTACACAATAATTACCATTCCTAGAGTTATGTGTGCAAGGATCCTACAGGCGTTGCCTGAGATGAAACATACATCACCTGGAATGCTAGGGACATCAGCCGGGATACTAAAGCCATCAGCTAGGATACCAGAGGCATCACCTGGGATACTACAAGTGTCACTGCAGATGTGAGAGGCATAACCTGGTTGCTTGAGGTATCATCTGAAATGCTTAAAGAATCACCTGGGATGCTACAGGCATCATTTGAGATCTGGAGCGATTACCACGGATGCTACAGGTACTACTGGGAATGCTAGAGGCATTGTCAAATAGGCTAATAGGTAAAGATTCAACGCATTCAGCACGCCAATTGATACCTGTAGCATCTCAGGCGACTTGTCTATCCGAAATCACATCTTACAGTCCATCTCAGATAGCAGTGGAAGAAGATGTTACTGATACAATTCAAAAAAACATACCGGATTTGATTGTTAAAGTGCGCATGCGTAAATGAGCCCGATATTTGGAGTTTAGTTCTCGAGCTCACTGTTTTCGACTTATTTTCAATAAATATGCAGTGATTTAATGCTTAGACAAATACATATATATATATTTAAATATAATTCATACATACAGAAAAACTAAATCTATTCCTAAAGTTACATGACAGTGTATGTATATATACATAGAAAAACTGAACCTATTCTTATCTATGTTCATTCGCTGATATGTGTTCTGGAATCTGCATTTATATTCGAAGTCGAAATAGACAGCTACTCAAACCACCCATGCGATACAAACTGCAGTACTTCTGGTTGATTTATTAAATATATCTCATTGCATTAATATTTTTAAGCTCTTAGAAAAATGCTAGATTTCAGTCGAAATCGTGTCTACCATTCTAAGTAAGTGCGCTCGAGCCATCTGTACTAGTCACATCGGTTATTTTCGCTTAGTTTTCGAGTTTGATTATTTATTAAAGATGAAGTCACAAAAAAAACTCATTATAGTTTGAAGACTTAACCAACAGGTAAAAGTGTGGAGCCGCTTGACAAACATACTGTGGCAGATCAAAGTTGACTTTTTTTGAGTAGAAATCGATCTATTTAAGACAGAAAATCTTAATTTAATACGAAATTATAAAAAGCTTTATGAAAAAAAAAGGAGTAAAGCGCTTGCACTATTGGTTTTTTATGACTTGCGGTCAACCATTGGTTTGAATGAAAAAGTTGACGACATGCACCTCTCTAGCACTGTATCTCTGGTAGTGACGAAATTATAGAGATTCTCCTGAAGACCATGAATGAACTATAAGTAAGCCGGAAGCTCACTCTACTTTGATGTGTCGGGGGGAAAAAATTACGTTGTGTGAGGTGATAATTGATCTGATGCTAATGAATGCGGTAGTCTATTTATAATGGAAAAATATCCTGAACGTATCGTTGTATGAACTTATGCATTCATGGTTTTTTTCAAAAGGGCGAACAGTTCAATGGCCAAAGCTTTTGTAATTAATTATTCGCATTTTATAAAAAGAACAGAATTGAACTATTTTGAACACAAGAATTGGGGCTTCCAACAGAATCCAGCTAGCTATCATACTGATTAAAAAGTTTAAGATTGGTGCAAAAAGAACTTCACATTTTTGAATTCGAAAGAAAAACTTGTTATCATATTATTCGGAATTTAATCTATTTGATTATTCTATTCTATCTGGGATAGCATCTCAAACCACATATTTTATCATAAAGTCAAAATAATCAACGATTTGCGTCGAGAAATCAGGAAAACAGTAATGAAAGTTGATATTACTTATACTCCAGAAGTAATTGATTGTTTACTTCAACAAGTTAGTTCTAGTAGTACTCAATAGTAGCTTTTGAAATATCATATTATTATTTTATTACTTTGTTTTCTCTTGAAATAAATTGATTTTTTTCAAATGTCGCGAAATTTTTTTCTCCATTCGGAAATTCTTAGGCTTCGATAAACACGTATGTAATTGTATTAAATTAATTGTATATAGTTTTAATAGACGATTTACAAATAACAAATGTTGCGAAACATTCAACATCAACTGTATATTCAAAAGTTTAAAGTATATTATTTGTCTTTATTTGAAAATTTGAATATACTTTTCCATTATTTAAGAGTAAATCTACATGAAAAATTATAATGTATTTCTATCAGGCTTTATTTGAATTCAACAGAACTTGTATTTCAATGTAGAACATCATAGTTTTACGCTGATATGAACAAATCGAACTGGAAAGTAGATGACAGAGTGAGATTTAGAATACACATACTACAGATTATACATTTAGCATGATAACACAATAACATAAAAGAAAAAAAAAATAGAATGTTTATTGACGAGCTGATGGTCCAACACCACCGGCTCCACGTCCACCTAAACTTCCTCTTCCACCACCAGGACCACCTCGTACAGACCATAGTCGACGAGTAGCAGAAACTAAATAAGCAAAAAGTTCAAAATTAAACATACACTTTTCATTTTCCTTTCGCGTATTGACTTACTACTCATAAAAGGACGTTGTCGACCTATACCACCACGAATTATTTGTGGTGATACACCACTACCAATTGTTGGAATTGATTGCACATCATAAACAATCGGTAAAATATCACCACGACGTTGATCACTTGTTTGTTCAACAGTAGTTATATTAGTTGATTCTGTTGTTGTTGTTGTTGTTATTGTTGTATCACCAACTGTAACAACACTTGTTGATAAAGTATTAACAGTATTTGATCGAGATTCAGTATCGATTGCTTAAGAAAAAAAAAATAAATAAATAAAATTTAAATTAAATACAAAAAATTAATTTACTTTGATCTGTTGAGATTGTTTCTTCAACAGATGAATTGATTCCTTCATTGTCAGTTGATGTCTAAATTACAATTTTTTCTTTTTAATGATTAACAAATAAATTTTATATCATACTGATATTACCTCTGTTCGTGTTGCATGCAAAACATCTAAGAAAAAAACTTGATTTTTTTTCGTCTCATATCAATTATTCAAATACTTACTTGTTTCCATAGTTTCTTGTTGTTCCTTAAAAATACACACATAACAAAAGTTAAAATTAAATGTTCAAAAAAAAAGATATTTACTTGAATAGGAATTATTTGTTGTTCACGTACTTGTGGTTCAACATGAGCAATTAATGGAGTTGTCTATGCAAATTAATAAATATTTTTAAAAAATGATTATTCTTTATAAACTAGTGTGACTTTTTTTTCACTAATGCTGAGAAATCAAATGTCATTTAAGTAGATGCATTAATCAGTAGACATTAGTGAATGGGTAGGAGGAAGTTCGACTTTAGTACTTCGAAGTACAATACTCATCTTACTTCATTGGTAATTTATGATACTTTATTCATACTTCAAAGTACTAAAGTCGTGCTTTTTCTCTCTTGACTCAAGACCACGTTGCCCTTATCTATTTAGAACATATGAGTTGTGACAATATAACATCCGCCACAAGATTTATACGGCTAAAAAATAGTATCGGTCCCACTGTGAAAGTGCTGATTTCGATCCTGATTAAAAATAAAGTTTTTCGGTTTCGGTCATAGCCTCTGTAAATCTTATCTAGTCCTGGTACCTAGAACCATCTTGCCCATGTCTAATGACCAGTCATATATATGTATATATAGAGATAGATTTTATTCTAATAATTTAAATAGCATTAGAATATATATTTACTTCAGTTTCTGGTTTCGATCGCTTAAGCGTTGATTCTGTTGATCTACAACAAAAAGTAAAATACATTTTCTATTTTAATATATATAATTATAATTACTTATGATCATTATCATCAGCTCTTGTACGTTTCATTAATAAGTTAGTACCAGCTGCTGTTGTTATTTGTGGTGTCGGATGGTCAACTACAGTTGTCGCTTTTATTTTAATGCAAAAATAAAATAATTTCAATGAATTTATTAAATGTTACATACGTGCAGTAGTTGTTTCAGTTGTATTTGCACCTGTCCAAAGTGATGCACTTGTAGTTGTTGATGTAGTCGATGCTGTCATAGGTATAGCGACACCGATTTGACGACCACTTGATGGAGCCATTGGTACAACACGAGAAATAACTGGTTCTCTAGTTATTTTAATATATAAAAACTTTATTCAAGAGAAGAAAAACTAACTGTGTCATTGGTGCAGCAAATGCTTGTGGTCGAAGTGATTTAGATGTGACATCTTCTGATTGTTTAGTAGTTGATGATGTATTCGAACTTGATGATGTTGATGACTGAAATATAAAAATTTAGTCGAAAAAAAAAAAAGAAAATTTCATATGGAAGTAAAAATACTTTATTTGTTGTTAATTCATCAATTCTTTTTCTTAAACGCAATATTTCTGCCATATGTTCATTTGAATCAATATTATCAAATAATTGTATAATATGTTTAAGATCATTTATTTCAGCTTCATAAATTTGTCGAATACTTTCAATAAGAGTATGAGCTTCTTGAAACAAAACAGAAAATAAAATAAAGAATTTTTATTTGTTTTTGTTAAAAGAAAAATAAATTCTCACCCGTAAGATCATTTGATATACGAGTTTGTTTTGCACGTGCTAATTCATTTGTCATTTGTGTCATACGACTTTGTTGAGCTGTTATTGTTGTACGTGCCATAACAAGAGCATCACGAAGTTTATTCATTTTTTCGGTTAAATCAACTGGTAATGGACGATTCTAAATTAAATTAATCGAAAATATATATATATATATATTTAATTTCTTTGTTTCTTTCTTTTCAATCATACTTTATTTGTTTCCAATGGAATTTCACTAGGAGGTGGAACTTCTGTTGTTCCACCGGTTAATAATTCATCTGCATCAGCCGTTGGCGCTGATGTAGTAGCACCAGTAGTAGTAGTAGGATTTGTTGCAGCTGCAGTTGCGGTTGCAGCAGCAGCATTTGCTCGATATTTGATTGCAATAGCTTTTAACTAATAAAAGACAAAAAAAAAAAAACAAGATTTTAGTTCGACTGTTTCTTTGAAAACATAAACAAACTTTAGTAATCATTTGTTTTAATTCTTGATTGTCTGATTCAAATTTTGTAATGCGTCCTTTGAGTTCATCGATTTCACGTCCTTGTCGTTCTCTTAAAAAAGAAAAGAAAACTTCTTACATCAATTTTAAATATTTGAATAAAATTATACAACACTACTAATGAATAGAGTTTAAAAACTGAAATAAACAATATATTTTAAATTCAAGTTTATTTCGAATTTAGAAAATTTTAAAACAGACTAGATGATTGTATTTTCTCATTTATAATACGCTATTTTACCTATGTTTTTAATTAAGAACTTTGTTTTAAGACATAAAAACACACTGATTTCTTTTTTTGTTTATATGCAATAACAATTGGAAAATGAAACAAATTTATAGAATGAGAATTCGTCTTATTTTCTGAACACTATGAGAAATACATAAGAAAAATACAATATTAAATTATCCCTGGAAGTTTTTATCGTAGATAGATATAATTAGA